TTCTCTTTTCTCATTCGGACAGCGTTCATGCGGCGATGGCGGCTCCCGCTCATCACGTATCCGACGTCCTCGTATTTTGCAATCTCGTCGGACGTTAGGCCAATCTCACCACGACGAGGGATACGCGACTCTGTTCCGTCTTGCAAGAACGCCGCCATGGCACTCCCTTCGCCTCGGAGGAGAGAGCCACCATATGCGCGTTCGTCGATTCGTTTAGAAGTAGTCTGTTTTGACAGGGGTTGCGGCCCGACGTCTTCATCGGACTCCCCATCACGATCTGCAACCGGTTTAGACGAAGGGTTAGGGAATGGGCCGCCGTTGGTGAAAGGAAGGACGCTGGCGGCAGGAGTTGTAGATTTGACAACCCATTCGTCTTCGTCCTCGTCGACGACGGGGCTAGGGCTGCCACTAGCAGGAATATCTCTGGTCTGGCTGCGGCTCTTGCGGCTCGGCATTCTGTCTCTGCGGGACCGGTCGTCGGTACCATCGCTGTCAGAATCATAATGCTTCTTGCTGCTCCTGTGTTCCCTGCCCTTTTTAGCCCTTCTTCTTTCTTTGCGCTCCTTACGACGACGGTACTCTTCCTCGGAAGAGTCTTCAGAATCAGAACGAGGGCGCTTGGACTTTTTGCTGGATTTTCCGCGTTTGGGAGATCTGGTTCGAATTGTCGGGACAAGGGGCGACGGACAAGAGGAACGACACGCACAGATCTCGGGCAGGTGCCTTGGGGGATGGGGGCCAAATATTCACAACAGTTGCATCTCGTTTTGCCCGTCGACTTGGGTAGCATTAGGTTCAACAGCTCAAAAGCATATGAATGGCACACACCTTTCCATGAAATCGCTTCCGCCTCCGCTGTAGGCATTTCTGCCATAGCTGGGGGGTCTATCCTTGGAACCTTCTTGGCGCCAGGGGACCTGGGAGTCTTGGGGAGGCAATGGGCGTTTATAGTCGTCGTATTCTGGGCTTGCACGATTCGTCCTTTCTTTTTCGCGACTACGACTGCGGCGGGGAGAGGGGCTTCGACGGCGGCGAGGAGAAGGAGATCTACGACGGTATCGCTCAGAATAAGCCTCAGAATCCTTGGGCACCAGAGCTGCACGAGATGGGTGAACGGAGGCCATATTGATCGTATCATTGATGCAATCAATAGTTAGTGTGAGCATGTTTGGTTGCAAGTGGCTGACATCCGCTTTCTTTCTACACCCAATTGCAGCCTCAACTTACAGTAACGCAAAATGCCCAGAAAAGAACCACAAGGCGGCTCCATCTCGGCTCAAGCTCAACAGGAGCTCGTGTCGGAGGGCATTGAGAACTTTGAGCTCCCCAAGTCCCTTGTCACCAGGATCGCGAGATCCGCAGTGCGTCCATCCCATCTACCGTCGAGTGGTTCTTGAATTGCGGGCCCGTAAGCTTCCCGAAAACGTGAAAATGCAAAAGGAGACGGTTCTGTCCCTCATCAAAGGCTCTACTGTGTTCATCAACTACCTGGGTACGTTGGATGCCGTGTCGCGTCTCCGGGCTGAATTCGACGCGTCCTACAGCTGCTACGCGAGTCTCCATCTATTACATACACCGGTGGCTATTCTGACGCGTTTTCTTTTCAAGTGCGCATGATGTGGCTCTGTCCAAGCAACACAAAAGCATCTCAGCTTCGGACGTGCTCAAAGCCCTGGAAATGATTGAATTCGGAGACCTTGTGGACAAACTCCAGGCCGAACTCTTGGGCACGTCGCCCACCCTTTTGAGACAGCGTCGCGTCCATGCTGATTGCCCTGCTTCTATAGTCTACCGCGAGCTGGCAAAGACGGACAAGAGCAAGAAAGGCAGCTCGAACGTCAATAGTAGCGCCGTCAAGGGCAAATCCGCTTCAGTAGCGTCCACACCTAAATCTGTCAAGATAATTGTTCTCCCACCATCGGCCGTGGCTTCCGGCTCTGTTGATGCGGATCCGACCGAATCAATATCGTCGGGTCCGGGAATGGCCATGGAGGTTGACGAAGAAGTAGACGTCGAGGATCCATCTGTGCGGGTGGACACTGATGCTGAGGGCGAAGGTGAACGGCAGGAAGAGGAGGAAGAAGAGCCGGAAGATCCCGAGGATGTCGACAATATCGACGAGGAACCGGAGGAACTGGTCGACACAGTCGCTCTCGATATGCAAGACATGCAGCAGGACAGTAGAGGCCCAGAGGAACCTCCAGCGAATATGGACGCCTAGCCGAGAGCTGGCTTAGTTATAACGTTGCGCACTGCGTACTTGTACAGTCGAGAATATTACTAGTATAACCAGCGAGGCACAAGCTCAACAATGAAATACTTAACTTATAGCGTACCAAGTAGGCCCTGGCCATTTCAAATCCATTTCAAATTTGGGCAAAGGAAAGTTTGTTCGAGAGGTTGATTGTAAATAAATGACTCAATCACTTCCTTCGCTTGGACCATTATAAGCTTCGCGTCCAGCGGCGTCCTGCACGCTCATATTCAACAACGCCCTCCCATAGGAACTCCAATCAACACGGTCATTGGTTCCGCTGGAATTACTTAGCAGCTTGGAATAAATGACTGTCACCCATCGCAAACCGCCACTCCAACCTGACGAAATTACATGCAAGTTCAATCTACATTGCCCGACCGTGCGCTCACCGGACTCCTTTGTGTAGCTGCCAGTGAACCAGGTGTTCAGTTTGAGTGTGATTCCTGCGCATGCGACCTCACACACACTATTCGCATAAAATGTGCCGACCCGGCTTGCCAGTCTGAGGATGGAGTGGACATATGTCCTCCGTGTTTTTGCGCAGGAAAGGAATTTGGAAATCACCTTAGAAGCCACCCGTACCGCGTTATCGTACGCCGGAATTATTGCCGCTCCGCTCCTAATTCATAGTTCGCGTTCAGGAATTCAACTCGTATCCAATATTCTCTGCTGACTGGGGCGCCGACGAGTCAGTCGTACTTGAGTGGTTTTCTCCAAAGCTCATGTTCTTTCAGAGAGCTGCTTTTGTTAAAGGGCATAGCAAGCCACGGCCTCGGCAATTGGAAGAAAATCGCGGAGCATGTGGGCACTCAGACTAAGGATGAAGTCGAGAAACATTACAATGCTGTTTATGTTGATTCTCCGGATTGGCCTTTGCCTGTAAGTCGATATCCACCCGATCCATTGCTTGTACTAAGGCTCGAAGCCCATGGATCTTAAATTCGATATTGCGCCTGAGCAATTTCAAGAAGCGAAGCGTCGGCGGATAACAGAGATGAACGCCATGCCTATTGCTCCGCCGAAAGCTGCTCCTACATCTGCCCCGGGAATACACGAAATTGCTACATTCCTTCCTGGGCGATTGGAGTTCGAACATGAACTGGACAACGAGGCGGAGGATCTTGTCAAGGACCTCGAATTTGGCGTGTGTCTGGAATTTGGCGGTGACCAAATCCCTGAGGACGAGAATGATCCTGATGTGAAGGCCCGAATCCGATGGGAGGAGGACAAGAAGAATGGGATTGTTCCAGGTTCCACGGTTGTTATACCCGAGCGCAAGATGTCACATAAAGGAAAAGGCCCCATCCCCGTCGTCAATGGTACATCAAACGCTCCGGCCAATGGAGTTCGGCTGAACGGCGACGTTGCTGCGCATTCGAAACCGTCGTCACAATCGGAGGACGTGGTTATGGGTAATACGAACGGGACCGGTACTGTGGATGAAGAGGAAGAAGTCACCCAACTACCTCCTATTGAAACGCAGCACTCCCTAACGTTCAAGCTTACTCTCCTAGAGATGTATTTTCAGCGAGTCGAGAAACGTTTAGAGAGCAAGGCACTTATGTTTGATCGCGGACTTTTAGAATACAAAAAGGTGAGGCTCTCAGTTCACTGTCTCCACTTGGCTCATTTTCTGTAGATTCAAGCCGCAGAAAAGAAAAGGCCAAAAGAAGAGAAGGATATTATCCATCGGCTGCGACCTTTTGCACGACTCCAAACAGCGGAAGATTACGAGTCTTTTTCGGCCGATATCCTTTGTACGCCAGTTTGACTGTATTTTCCTCATCTTACAGTCTTTGGGTCCTTTAACCAGACGAAGCTATGCTACGCAAAAAAATTCAAGACTTGCAACAATATCGTCGATTAGGGCTGTCAACTGCCGCCGACATTGACAAGTACATCAACGATGTGGCTAAGCGGGTTCGTACACTTTATCTTGCACCTCTTATACCCTAAACTACGCATAGACGCAGGTAAAAATTAATCCTCGAGAGTATTCCCTTTCGGAGAAGAAAGGTCGACAATCGTTGGATCGTTCGAGTCAAGCTCCAGAGGGTAGAAAGAGCCACGACCGCGAGATGACCCCGAAGCTGGCAGACATTACCGCGCCTACGAATGCCAGGAAACGAGGTAATATATTATTGTTTCAGTATTAATACCCGTCTCACCGTCGCCAGCTCCCCTGAATCTCGCCAACAGTCCCTCTCTTCACCTCCTCACGCCTGTCGAACAAACACTCTGTTCACAGCTGCGTATCCTTCCTAAACCCTACCTTGTCGTTAAGGAGACTCTGGTCCGTGAATATGCAAGAAGGGGGGGCAAGCTCCGTCGAAGAGAAGCAAGAGATCTGGTCAAGATCGATGTCAATAAAACCAGTCGAGTTTGGGATTTCTTGGCCCAGGCTGGATTTTTGCAGATCAACGCGGAGCCCGCGATATCGAACCCTGCTCCATCGCCAGCAAATGTAGCTCAATTGTCTGCAACGCCCAATCTCGCAAGTGCACCACCGACGCCGATCCTTTCGAACGGTTCGAGTTCGTCGCCTGCCGTTGTTACACCACTTCTTGGGTCACAACCAATGTCCTGGACGCCAACAGCTGGAACCACATAGCTGTATTATAATTGACTGGATGTATTTTTAACGCCGATAGATAATTCGGGATTTTCAAAATGGGACCAAATGATTTTACTAATTCTTTGTGCCGATCTCTCTGCCACTTTTTATCTCTCTTGAGCGCTCTAGGGCCGGATGACCGAGTGGTTAAGGTGTCAGATTTAAGTATGTTCTTGTCTCCTGATGGGCGTAAGCCCGCGCGAGTTCGATCCTCGCTTCGGCCACTTTTTATCAACCCGTTGATGAAAATCAAGTTCAAGAGCATAACCCTGGGTATTGACAAGAAATCCCAATGAATGGATACAAATCTTCGATCTCAAAGTTAGAAAATCTACAATTCGTTTAGTTTTTTCCCCAGCTGAACAGATTTTGTCTGAACTTACCCCAGAAACACCTCCTCCAGGGGCCTGGCGCACACTGACGCAACACGTGTCAGCGCCGTCTTAACAAACGAAAAATATTTACCGCCTAGTTGGTTTGAATTCTTCGGGTTCATCATTACCCCAGATGCTCCCAAGGCTGCTCTTTCCGCCGGGAGCCTCGCGAACACGTCTACAGCAGATTAAGTGCACAGAAGTGGACCATCGAGTATTGCACACACCTGCTTGGCTTGATTCCGGTACCGGTGACGGCACTGCCCTCGCTCTTTTCTTCCTTTTCATTCGCATCAACTGCCGGAGATGGAGACGGGGCTGCGGCTGCCTCCTTCTGCGGGGGCGCCGTGGACAAGGCGTCGGGGACCTCCTCGTCCGCAAAAATGTTGGTTCGGGGACCGCCAGGAGGCTCGCGCACACGCCGGGTGGGTTTGAAATCCGAGGATGTTGGCGCGGAAACAGGACCTGCTGACGCGGCAGGCGCTGGGGCCACTGCAGGCGACCCAACATCGGCGTCGCAGATTTTGCCAAACTTGACGTATCCTGCCATCCTCAGTTACTCGATAGTGGGTGCACGACCATGCATCGTACGTGGAAGCTTTTGAATATTATTGAAGTTCGTGTCTACGGTTGTGCCTGTGGACCTGCTCTGGTTAGCGAAACGATAGGTAGTAGAGTAGATGGTGCTGTACTTGAGAAACTCCATTAAAGAGCGCTTGGTGAAGACGATGCTTGTAGAATCCCAGTCAAGCATGCCTAAATGAAAACCATTGAAGGTGCCAAGAGCTGAGGCAAACGATGAGCTAACCCAAGTTGTTCGCCCAGTCCCTCTCGTTGGACATGTTCACGGGAAAGGTCGGTATGAAGCTAGATACCTTGAATGGGGGTTTCCTGGCCAGAATGGAACGCACTTGGACATGGCAAGAATTTCAACGAGGACCGCGGTGAGAGTTTGAGATAGGTTGTGGACGCATCACGAGACCGTGATGGCGGCTGCACTTTCGCGACGCTCACCGTTGACTCTGAGGAGAGCTTATAGTGCGCTCGCCTCTGCCATTTACACCGATCCGGCGAAGACAAGTGACCCTGCAGTCTCCACCACCCCCAACATAACCGATGCCCAGCGTCAACAACTCGACAGCGCCCTACGCGTCGACCAGGCTGGCGAAATCGCCGCCAACTACATTTACATGGGCCAGATGGCTATTTTGCACCGAGACCGCACACTGAAACCGCTGATCCAAGTCGGTTTGTTCAACGGAAACGCACAGTGGTTTCTTTACAATTTCAACGTAGGAAATGTGGGACCAAGAAAAGAAACATCTCAAGGTCATGGATAAACTGCAAATTCAGCATCGGATACGGCCAACGTTGCTGGCGGACGTTGCTAAAGTTGCTGGCTTTGGCTTAGGAGCGGTTACGGCGCTCATGGGCAAGGAGGCAGCCATGGCTTGCACGGAGGCAGTCGAGACGGTCATCGGAGAGCACTACGACGAGTCAGCCTCACCCTTCATACTCGAACGTTGACTGAAGGTTTCTTTAGTCAACTCAAGGACATGGAATCGCTGCCGTCCGACCACCCTAGTATTCCATTGTTGCGGGATGTTGTACGCGAGTTTAGGGACGACGAACTCGCACATCTGGACATTGCAGTGGAACACGATGCCCAACGCGCTCCTGCACATGCGCTGCTGAGCAGCATTGTAGGTGCGGGTTGCAAGGTCGCGATACAGCTGTGTAAGAGGATCTAATACTTAGACGCGCTTTTATTTCTCTTGTGGTTGTTGCAACTACGACTTGGACAATGACTGGTCCTTCCTCTTCCCGGTCCAGTCCCACTTATTCTATGAGCGAAGGAGTGAATCACAGGGGAGAAACCAAACTGACTCGACTCGCCTGAGTGGCTTGTATGGTAAGATAGAGTCCTATGGGTATTATTAAGACGCCCCAGAATGTCGACCGCACTGTCCTGTTCGTCCAGCGGAAGTGCTTGAACTGTTCTTCTCTCTGGTGGACGGGTGAGCTGGCAAACAGTGAGTATGCGTTACGACAGACCATGAGCGATTGCCGCTCAATCGCAGCGTCTTGGACCTGTGAGCGAGTGAGGGTGAGCTCAGTGAAACCTAAGACGACCAACCTTCACATGAGCTGTTAAGAGCCGTCAGAAACTACGAGGAAAAGAAATGGATTAACTGACCGTGGCCGGTCATATTCAAGTGGCGTTGTTCGTTTACGGGTGTTTACTTTCACTTGCTCTCCACCATGTCCTGGCACAATCGAGAATGGGACCAAGGCAAGGCCTGGGAGAGCCAGCAACAGTCCTGGAACCCCCCGAACGCCAACGTCCATCCCAGAGAAGACGACTATTATACTGAGGGAAAACGAAGGAAAACGAATGCCGGAGTTCGTCACCCAAGCGTCTTCGCTCCTTTTTTTCAACTTCAACTTCATCTAGGGCTACGAAGCCTCGCATCCATACTCGGAGAACGCCTATGATAATGTTTCCCATGCAGGACGCTCTGACAATGCGGACCTCACCCAGCGAGGTGGCGCACCATTTGCCAAAAAGCGCTTGCAACCATCGGAGCCGAGCCCTCATGTCATTTTCCTGGGCTTGGATCCCGACTTCACCGAGGCCGATGTCTGTCGAGTCATTCCTTCTCGCTCGTTACTGAAGCCGGCTTCCAGCTCCAGAAATACCTCACCTCCAACGGCTGCAGCATCGAAACCGTCACAATAATCCGGGAGAGATCATCAGGCACTTGCCCATTCGTATCTCTGATCCTGCGCCTCCATTGACGTTCTCCGCGGTTGGGTTTCCAAGGTACCTCCAAGGGCTTCGGTTTCGCCCAGTTCCCGACAATTGAACATGCCCGTTCATTTGTCGACCCTCTCTTTCCGTTCATACAAGTCCCACCCCCGGCGTCCCATGGCGCGTCAGCCACGGCAGCATTTTACAAAGCCCTTGAGACCGGTCTTCCTCACAATGGTCGAAGAGTCAAAATTGACTACTCGCAAAGCGCCACCCCTCATGAAAAGGGAAGAATGAACCGCGGCAACCTGAACGATGGAACCCGCGACATCGGCAACTCCCAAGCTGCTGTCTTGCTTTTCCGTGGCCTTGATCCTCTTTCAGGTCCTCAGGCAATTCACCAGGCGATGCTTGCTTCGTCTGGTGTTGGGAAACAAGGTGCCAAAGGAATGAAACGCATTATCCTTATCAAGGACAAGGTCACCATGGCCAGTTTTGGCTTCGCGTTCGTGGAATTCGTGGATGTTCAGGTTCTTATTTCCTTTCCCAAGTAATTTTTCCGCTTCTGATTTACTCTGCAGTCTGCATCCGTTGTCTTGGCCGCCACCATGTCGCCACAAGTACATCCTTCTGGTTTCCGTATTTCGGATCGTCCTGTCGCTGCTTCATTCGCGCATCCGTACTCTTTTCAGCCCATTGCGGATCTCATGATCCGAGACGAGGCGTGTATTTCTTCGTCTCTCCATCTCGGAGGGGAGGAAGGTACACTCGTCCGGTACTGGGACGAGGGCTCTACCATAGCCCAATTGGAGTTCAACGTAGAGCAACCTATACAACAGCAGGAGGCCGCTCAAATAAAGGAGAAAAAGGAAAAGAAGAAACCAAAGGGTACCCAGTCATAGCTCGGCGTATGCTTTGTCTGAAAAAGTTATCGATAGGGGATGCTGAGCTAGCCGCTCGTAATGTGCCGGCGGCGCCATCGGCCTTGCCCATATCTACCAAGCCCGTGACATTAAATTTCAACAAGGGATTGGGCAGAGCCGGACCAGGTATAACAATATGCAACAACGGATATCCCGAATTCTCATCATTGTGTAGTACCGGTCAAGGCTACTTTAGGTTTTTCCTTGGACGATGGGGCATCGGGAGACTCGCCTGCAGAGAGCGAAGTCGACGATAATCCAACCAAAGGTCAGTCCCGTGGTTTTCCTGTCCTCCACATCCTCCTCTTACTCTTTATAGCTCCCACTGGGAAAAAGGTTGCGCCATTGATCGCGAGCAAGAAGGTACTGTGTTTGGACATTCAAAGATCGAGACGTCTTCTCCTTCGTTCTCTCGCTCTAACCATGGTGTGGCGTTATTTTCAGATCGCGAGCAACATCAACAAATGGAATCAAGTACAGGAAGAACTAACGAATGAAACGAGTGTTGTCCCGCCGTCTTCTGCTCTGGTGACCCATCTTCCCTGGCTGTGCTCTCCAGAAAATTGGGTTTTCTTTGTTCTCATTGTGTATCCCCTCTGTGCAGGCGCCTTCCAAGCAACCCGCATCATCCTCTGCTTCGAAGCCTGTTCCCTCTGCTGTTGCGGCCGCTGAGGAAACCCTGCCTGTGGAGCAGGAGTTCGAGTTCTCGGATGTTAACGCTCTGACCTGTCTACTCTGCGCGCGCCAGTTCAAGACCGCGGACCAACTGAAGCGGCATAACAAGGAGTCGGACTTGCACAAGGCTCGCATTTCACAACTTTACGCATATGCGGTTCAACGATTCGGCTAACGTCGTCTTTTTCTTTTCTTGCTGCTGTTTTTTTTCTTCGACAAAACAGAAAAACTTGAAAGACTCAAGTTTGCGGGACGTAGCTCGCCAAAAGCTTACGGCACGGCAAGCGAGTGCGTCCACTGCGGAGCAGCCCAAGTACCGGGACCGCGCGTCAGAGCGTCGCGTCCTCTTCAACCAGCCAGATGCGCCTGTTCCTGAGAAGGACGCGGGCAAGGCTGGGGGTAAGAAACGCCAGGCCGAGGGCCCGCCGCCACCACCATCCCCTCCGCCTCCTCCCGTCAATCCTGGCAAGGATGAGAACAACGTCGGGAATAAGCTCCTG